TAGAACACCTAAATCGGAAATTTTATTACATCTATCAATGCTGGTGTTAGAAATTTTATAATCAAAAAGTATTGGAACGCGCTTATGTGTAAAACTAAGAATCTTGCACTTTGATATATTTAGATGTAATTTGTTATAGATACACCAAGATTGGAAAAGGTCAAGTTGAGACTGTAATAATAAGCAGTCATCAATAGAATTTATTTTGAGATATAGTTTCAGATCATCTGCAAATAATAAATGTGGACAGTTAATAGTATCAGAAATGTCATTAATAAAAATAATAAAATAATAGTGGACCAAGAATGGAATTATATTGTTTCTATCCAACAAAATAGTGTTCTGAAAGAAAAGACTTTTTTATTTTTTTTCATATTCAGGTAAAAAATAATTACAACTCTCTTCCTCCTTGTAATATTTTTTATCAACCCCTTTTGAGCCTCACGTGATTATTGGATATTCTCTTTCAACGTGAAGAAGGCCCATATATTAAATTATTAAAATAATTAAAATACCATCTCAATTTTACTATTGATTCGAATTAATTAAATAGGCATCTTCTATTCTTTAAAACAGTGTTTTCATTTCGTATTTATGTTATTGCTAAGAATGATCGGATAAAGAAATAAATCGGGTCAACTTTGACCTCAGCATGTGGCTACTTATCTTAGAAGCCACGCGCGTTTGACAACATGACAAAAGCGTGCCATGAACAAACATTATCGCGATTCTGATTTATGAACTTAATGCATCTAGGACAATAACACTGTAATAGAAAAACAATTCTAGAAAATATCATTTAAAAAAATCACACCATCCCAGCCAGTTAATTCTGAGCACGCCTGATTAGGGCTGGTTCGGGTTCGTAATTGCATTGCACATTATAGTGCAAATCAAATCAGCCTCGCGAATATTGTGTAATCAATCTTCAAATCAATAAATTAATGATTTATTTTGTTATGGGGGCGTCCATTAATCACGAGAGGTTTTTAGGGGTAGAGGGGGATTTGACAAAAAATTACGGAAAATCACACGGGGGGGAGGGATATAATTAGATATCATGCGTATTTATTTTTTACCTGAATCTTTAAAAAAATCCAAATTTTTTTTATAAAAATCCAGACATTTTAAAAAAAATCCCAAATTTTACAATTTTTTCTCGTAACTAAAAATACACTTACCAAATCAATATGAGTTTGGTGGAAAATGGGGGGAAATTTTGAATATCATCACGTATTAGCAAGGGGGAGAGGGGGTCCAAAAACCCTTAAAAAAGCGATCACGTGGTTAATGGACGCTCCCTTAATTGAAAAAGTTTTCCAAGTAAATAATTATGCTCTCCATATTTTTGAATTTAGTTATACTTTAGCTATTAGCTATAGATATCAAAAATTGATTTCATCAATATGAGTTCCTGCAAAAATATTTACAAGCTTGCCTAAAACAAATTTCCACTTGTCAATTACAAAAGTTTGGTTTAGCAATTCACACTAATGATTAAGAAGTTAAAAGCAATAAAATCAAAAATGACACTTTTCGGCATCTATAATTACGAGGAAACTGTTCAACTGATGTTTGCGCAAAACTATTCAACGCAATTCCGATCTAATTAATTTCAAATCCTAAACTTAAAATTTTTAAAATCAATTTACAATATTCTAGAGTCTAGAATTTATACAAATTCTTAATTCTCTAAATTATTTTGAATAAATGCCCAAGAAATATGTATAATTTCACGCAATATAAGTAAAATATGTATAATTTATTTTAAAATATTTATAAAATCAAAGTTATCAATTTTTTTTTTAATTAGGATATTGTCTGGTTATATCCACAATATAATTATATAACTAAGAGCGAATTGATAGAAGAGTTAAGATTTTATTGATGATCTAACATTTAAGTTGTCAATAACCATTATATAGCAGATTTTTTATAACGTCTTCAGATTTTTTATATCATTCGTAACTTTATTTATTATTGCACCCGGAACCTTGATAATAAAAAACTAGAATTTTGAACATTAATAAAAGAATTGCATAATCACCAATTCGCACTTATTAACGATGACTAGGCCATTAGAAATAAAAGGATTTAATCAACCTTAAAATGACGTCAATAAAAATAGATTTTTTTTAAATAAATCGTATGAAAACACCTTGAAACTTTGAACTTGTACTTTATCTCCACTCTGAGTGAGGTGAGTGCAACCGGTTTCGGAGGTTAATTGTATTGTAAAATAACATTGACAGACACATTCTTTGAAACATTAAGATTCGAAGTTTTTTATTAGCAATATTCTTGAAATTGATTCAAAGTTTTTTGTCAACAACAGTTCTCATGTAACGCTGAACATTTCACGATTGACTCAGGTCAGGAATAATCAAGTTTTTATTAAAGCTTGCATTTGAATGACCTGCGTTTGTTCTTATAAAGTATTTGTAATATATCGAAGGCATCAGCTTTTTTCTGAAATGTGAAGCAAATGAAATTTGACTCTCAAACTAGCTGATGAGCTGAAAAATCGATATGTTTAAGGTACCTAACTACTAATTAATTTAAATTTTAATCAATTTCTTTTGTTACACTACTAGATTATTTGCAAATGAGCAGTTCTACAAATCTACAAACTTTATTTATAGTCAATAATTAATTAATTTTAATATAATCTTTTTTTTAATTTTCAACCCAAAAGTAAAAAATCATAGGAGTTGATTTAGTTGATGAAATGATTATTGTAGTTCATTAAACTCTAATAATGCGTGCGAACTTTAAACTTGGAAATATAATTTCATAAAATTTTATCATTCTTATTTAATTTCTAACGAGATTATTTTTTACTAAAACATGAGTCAGCATGATCAATTAACAAATTATTCAATTTAACGAGATTCTAGCTAGCATTTCTCAATTTTATTTATCAAGTGTAAAATTAATTTTTGCTTAATTGCTTATGTAAAATTAAAAATTTATGCAAAATTAAAAATAGAGCAAACTATTTAAAAAATATAGCATTAAATCTCACTGAATCGATAATAATTAAAAAAAGTTGCACATGGGATATTATATGGGGGCGAATGCTGAATAGTATTTAATAAAGTTTTGTTAGAACTGTAATACGTAGTACTAAATTCGATTTTTTTGAGAACTTGCTCGTACCTCGAGATAGCATTTGTTCAAGTGTGCCTAACTCTAGTTTCTGAATTTTATCATATTTAAGAATATCCGCATTAGAATTATGACTATATTTAATATTGTGTTATTTTCTTGCAAACAATTAATAAAATTAGGTTTTGTAATTATAGATAACTTCCAACAAACCGGTTTTGACTTTGAATTATATTTATGGCACCAAAATTTTTATAGTCCCAATATTTAAGTCATTTGACACGTGAATTTGTAAGTAAGTAGGTTACATTTCCGCATATCTCGCAATTGTTATTTGGACTTCCTTTCTTTTGATAAAGCCTTTGAATATATCAGATTTAAAAAAACATTACAAAACTATTCTACATTTGCGTAGAGTATGGTGAGTCATCCACTTTGGCATAATTAAACCAGTTGTTTTGCTTCTCTAGATGTTAATCGAAAACTGATCTTTGTTGTACGTAGGATTCAAATATGTTTATCGTTACAATGAAAATAAATTTTATGTGGTCACATAAATTAACCCAAATTTTCGCTAATTCTCTTTTAGTATAATTATGAGTTCATTCACCATTTGTATGCAGCTGCTAAATTTCTGCGGTTTGCAAATGCATTAAAAAAATCCCATAAATTTATCTTAAAATTTCACGTAAAAATAACAAGAAAGGAAAGATGAATTTTAGAATTCAAAACAAGTCGTTTAGTGAATGACGTCAAAACAACTTTGTATAAAATTTTTGAACGCGATTAGTAAATAAAGACATTTTTTTTATATAAAATACTGCAAGTATACTCTGAAGTATATATTTTTAAATTCATATTCTTATTCACACAATTCATATTCTTTGTGTTATGTTTCAGTATAATGTGTAATATATTTTAATTATATCGGTTCTTAGACAAATATCAACTTTAATAAGCATTCAATAAAAAATAAATTATGAGTTAACAGATAAATAAGAATAAAAGAACTAAGAGACAATAAAACTGTTCACCAAATTATTATTAAAAATCTGTAAAAAGAGATCTGATGATATAATATAAACTGATATTAAAGTATTGATTAAATAGTTTCCTTAAATGAATAGTTCTTCTAAAAAAAATTAGAATTAAAAGAGATATAAAATGTTCTAATAATGCATATTCATGTGCATATATGCATATTCTCATAGAAATTTGACAAAATTAGCAGAAGATCTTGCAACCAAAATATAAACAGAATAATTTTGCACTTTTGCTACGTTGCAAACAAAATATATACAACCATTATAATACCAGTTTTCAAATATTTTTTCATTTTTTTTTAAAAATAATTGCACTTATGAAAACTGTGACGTTTGTTAAGAGCTTTCTGTATAATTATTTTCTAGTTATATTACCAGATAAATATTTAATTATATTAACTCAAGTTCTATGTAACTTGAAGCTGATGTTGCCTCAGAGACAACGCAATTAGAAATTAAAATTTACTTTATTATCTGACTCTCATGTTATTATGCACGCAATAGTAATTATGCAACACATGCGTTTAGATAAACTGAAATAAAGTACGGTAGTATATAAACGCATTAAATATACTATAGGTATATTTAGTAAAATACCAAATATTGGCAATATTTCTATAATCAATATTTGACATTGCCTCTAAAGTTCGAAATCATTTTATATATTAAATCAACTCATAAATTTGAAGCCATTTTACATTTCTTCATTTTACATACAATTTTAGTTTAGTAACAACAATGTAGAGCAGCCAATAATTTTTCGATAATAAAATTTTATTTGGTATTATAAGTTCTCTATAAAGTGTTGTCCATTAATTCAGACATATTATTTATTTATTTACAGGTGATAAAGAAATTCTACATGGAGTTAATGGTCGTCTACCGCCAAATCAATTGGTGGCAATAATGGGTCCATCAGGAGCCGGAAAATCGACGCTCCTGGATGTTCTATCTGGGTACAAAAAAACTGGCGTTGAAGGTGCTGTTTATGTGAATGGACGGGGAAGAGATCTCAGTAAGTAAAAAAAAAATTATATTTATAAGATAACTGGGACTTCAATTAGATTCGAATGAATATTGTTATTATATTCGAAAGGAAGAATTCAAAGAATATTTTCGAATAAAAAGTTTTTACCTATAAGTAAATTTCATAATGAATATTGGTAAATTAAAAATATAAAGTACATAGAAAATTTGGTAAAGAAAATGAGAAATTCTGAATTAAATATTTTGAAATCTTGAATGCCTCTTGTAAAAATACGGAGTTGCAATGTGGCTTATGGAGTCATAAATAGTCTTCTAAATATTTTTTATCTATTCTTGTCTTTTACAAAATTTACGTTATAAGGAAAATATTTTCATGAATTTATCGGAATATTTGAGAAAATAAAAAGTGCGTTTGCTCTTCAACACACTATACATTTCCATTCAATTAAACAATGATTTATAATGGAATATTTGCATACATATTTATCAAAACGATGACATGGTTTGTGGAATGTGCATGATTTGCGAAAACTTACCTATCATCATAATACTTTGTAAGAAAACTATATGTACTGGAACTTGTATTTACAAATAATTCAAGTCAACAAGTGGTTCATACTATTATGTATCCTTTGCATATTGCATTACTTTATTCTGAGAATGTTTCAATCTATATCGTCAGAGACTTATTAATTCAGTGATGTACGTAATAAAATAGCATAAATCATATTAAAATAATATTTTTTCTAAACTTTTTTATAAATAGACGTTTGCTTAATAAACAGTTTTTTATCCATGACTTTTATTTATCAATTCATGCTTAATGTTCATTTTCTTCGCAGATGAGTTTCGCAAAATGTCTTGTTATATAACTCAAGATGACCGATTACAGCCTCTCTTAACAGTTCAAGAGAATATGGTTGTAGCCGCAGATTTAAAATTGGGAACACACGTGCCCAAACACGAAAAAGCAAATATCGTAAGTAGAAAAATTAAACTACATTTTTATATAGTAATATTTGACAAATTTCTATCACAAGTTATGCAATAACAATAATATAAAACAAGAACTATTTTCATAATGCGAGTAATCTATGAGTCTATTTAATTAAGTTTCTTTGATGAATTAATATCGTTCTTCGCGTGCTTTTTTTGTGGAGTTAACGAGCCTTCATTCTGCATATTTAAATTTTTATATTAGTTTTATCTTATTGATACCTAATTTTTCATTTATTTGAAGATATTGAACATAAATCTATTAAAAATTGTTAGACTTATGGTAGTTAGCCCTAGAACTGTATCTGCACGCCTCCGAGGCGTACATGCAGACAAGAAAGGTGATGGTTCTTTTGTTATGGAAATTTTGAAAAATAAAAAGACTATTTGTTAGTAAACTAGAGTTTTTCTGAAATAACATTTGATGATATCACAAAGTATGCAATTACAAAAAACAGAAGAAAAATCACTTGTTAAGAATGATACCATTCTAGTTTTCCAATGATCTAATAACAAGCTTTCGGCGAAGGTTTTTTTTTTATTAAAAATTGACTCAAACCATCCCATAATACTTTGTAAATCTTCATTTTTCAATAAATTGAAATGATATAATTAATTATATTTTCAAAAAAATTAAAATTATCATAATCAATTGTGGTTTTCAGATAGAGTCAACGCTAACAACTTTAGGTTTATATGAGCATATAAATACACGAGCTGGAAGACTATCAGGTGGTCAAAAAAAGCGTCTATCAATCGCTTTAGAACTCATATCAAATCCTGTTGTTATGTTTTTGGATGAACCAACTACGTAAGTAATTATTAGAACATTAATTAAAACTTAAAAATCTAAGGAATAACGAATTTAAAACAACCGACGTTGTAACAAATAAAAACATAAACTTATTAAAATCTAGGAACCTATTAATAGAAATAATGGATTGAACTAGAGCTCCTAGCCTAGGAGTCCTAGACTATTATATTTTAATTTAGTTTTTCATTTTATGAGCTTTCGTAGAAATATTTTCAATCATTACTCTTCAGTTGAGAAATACTAATGATGAGAATTACAACAAATACATTTTTTTTATATAAAAATTAATAATTTCATAACTTTCCAAAGAATTCTATACTATATTCTAATATTAGCTAGTACTATCTTCTAACTCTATATTCTAATACTATATTCTCTATTATCAAGTTATTTTAACCCCTATAAGTGAAATTATTAATTATTTTTTCCCGATTTAGTGGTTTAGATTCGTCGTCCTGCCGGCAGGTGGTGGAATTACTAAGATCACTAGCCCACCAGGGACGAACGATAGTCTGCACAGTGCACCAGCCGTCCGCTTCGCTTTTCGCTCTTTTCGACCAGGTTTACGTTCTGGCGGAGGGACGATGTCTTTATCAGGGCACCACCGACATGCTGGTCGAATACTTGGATAACTGCGGAGTGCAATGTCCGCAATACCACAACCCAGCTGATTTCGGTTAGTAAACACATGGTAAACACATAATGCACTGATAAACACTAACGATAATTAGTCCAGTCATTTAGCATTTCACCTCGTAATGTGAGATACCCAGCTGTAACTTTGTAAATAGTTGTATATTGACACCCTTAATGTTGTCTCAAAACCTACATATGGTAGGGTGTGCGCAACTATAAAATTTCGGGGTCAAAGGTCACAAAAATCGCGGTTTTTTGCTTTTTTTGTAAATATCTCATTTCCTATGGGTTTTTTGCTATTTATGTTTATTATCAATATTGTAGAATACAAAATTCTCTACAAATTTTGTTTGAAAATTTTTTTTATACGGTGAACCGTTTTCGAGATAGAGGGCGGAGAGCGCGCGGTCATAGCATCCCTTCAGGTCAACCGATGCCTTCGGTCAAAAACGCGCCATATATAGTTGATGAACTATCGCTAGATTAATGATTATAAACATTTGTCAATTTTTATTAACTATTTTATTATATTTTGTAATTTTTTTCGTGCCTTAAATCTATATTTATTCAATAATACTGATCACCGTTTACTAAAATTAAAAAATAATTAAGGAAAAAACTTAAATCATAATATGATTATTTTTTCATAAACACTCTTAAATTTTAAATAGAAAATAATTAAGTGCATTTTCTTTAAATGTAATGTAAATTTCAAAATCCTTCCATTCCTTCCAATCCAGCAGAGAAGATACTTTTTCTATTATAATTGATAAATACATAAATTATTTACAAAGGCATTACAGGTCCAAAATAATTGTTGTATTTGACGGATATTCAGACTACAGTAAGAACGTAAAAGCTATGGAGCAGCTGAGAAGAACTGCACTTTCAAAATCATATGAAGTATGTTTCGATAAAACAATAGTTGTACCAGTTTCTCAAGAATTTTTTTTATCAAATCAAAATAATAAAATTAGGCTAATTAACATGTTAATAGAAAATTTAAAGGCTGCAAATATAACTACAAAACAAGCCAGAGATGATGCGGATGTCCTTATTGTTGAAAGTGCAATTCAAGAATCAATGTCTGGAAAATCTGCAATTATAATAGGACAAGATATTGATTTACTCGTTATTTTAATTGGGCGTACCCTGTCCCACGGAAAAGAAATTTTCTTTAAAAAAGTTGGGACAGGAAATGTAAAAACGGAGATATACTCGACTAAAAGTTTTGATAATTATCCTCATTCCAAAACACATATTTTATTTCTGCACGCATTAAGTGGATGTGACACAACTTCTGGGCTTTTTAAAAAGGGAAAAAAAAACATTTTTGAAAGTTTTTGAGAAACTGACAAATTTGGATGAACTAGCTAAAGCATTTGAGGAAGAAAATTGTTCGACCCAGAGATTATTAGAGGGTGGAACTCAAATCTTACTGGCAGTCTATAATGCTCCGAAATCTGTGAAAAGTCTCGATCATCTTCGTTATATTCATTACGTTAAGTCTACAAAATTTAATAAACCTGTTCAGCTTGCAAATTTTCCACCAACAAGTGCAGCTGCTCATCAACATTTTGAACGTGTATATTATCAAGTTCAAACTTGGTTAGGGCATGATTTGGAACCAAAGGTATGGGGTTGGGCAATGCGAAATGATTTTCTTTAACCTATCATGACAATTTTACCACCTGCTCCAGAATATTAGCTAAATACAATTTTCTGCAACTGCAAGAGTGGTTGTGGTTCGCGATGCGGATGCAGAAAAGCGGGCTTGCAATGCTCTTTAGCTTGTGGCCAATGTGATGGACAAGCTTGTTTCAATGCTTTACCATACCAGAGCGACATTAACGAAGATGGAACTTTTGATACCGAAATTATGGAAGAAATTGAGACAAATGACGTTGAAGACGACAATGAAGACCAGTCTGAAATTCACCAGCAGCCGGAAGACGACGATGAAGAGGAAGAAGATGATTAAAATTATTAATTGTAGTTTTGTACCCTTTATTTCATTTTATTACTTTAAAAAAAATAAATGTATAAAATAATATTTTTTAATAAAAAGATAAATTCATAATTTATTTGTTTTTTTATCATGTAAGAATTTATTAATATTAATTAGGTTTAAATTTAAATATAATTCTTATATTAACAATTCTGCAATTTAATGGGCAGGTAAGTGTTGTTAAATAAATTAATACTGAATAAAAAGTGGATAGGTTAGGAAAAAATGACAAAATATAATAAAATAGTTAATAAAAATTGACAAATGTTTATAATCATTAATCTAGCGATAGTTCATCAACTATATATGGCGCGTTTTTGACCGAAGGCATCGGTTGACCTGAAGGGATGCTATGACCGCGCGCTCTCCGCCCTCTATCTCGAAAACGGTTCACCGTATAAAAAAAATTTTCAAACAAAATTTGTAGAGAATTTTGTATTCTACAATATTGATAATAAACATAAATAGCAAAAACCCATAGGAAATGAGATATTTACAAAAAAAGCGAAAAACCGCGATTTTTGTGACCTTTGACCCCGAAATTTTATAGTTGCGCACACCCTACCATATGTAGGTTTTGAGACAACATTAAGGGTGTCAATATTTCAACTATTTACAAAGTTACAGCTGGGTATCTCACATTACGAGATTCTTGCCTAATTTAACCTAAGATGACTGGGCTAAATGGTTAACGATAAAGATAAATGCATAACAAAAAACTTCACGTTGAGTTCTTTGTTTATGTATCCTGAATGACTCAAACTCATAATTGAAAGTCGAGAATATGAGTTTACAAAATAGCTTGATATTTTGCCAGACTTGTTTGAGTTTACTAGTTTTAATGACTACTAATTATTAATTTAATATTTCGTTCAACAGTTATTGAGTTGGCTTCTGGGGAGCATGGTATAGACAAAATGGACAAAATGGTGGAAGGAACTGAAAATGGTAGATCATTAGTCTGGTTGAAAAACCACGAACATCTACCAGATTTAAAAGCATTACGGGAAGCAAATCCTATCAGGCCCAAGTCTGATTCCGATCAGAATCTAAGTGGACTTCAAGCCACGCCGATAACGAATCAACTTAAAGTTCTTTTAAAACGAGGATTCTTGAAAACGAGGAGAGATGCGGTAATAATAATAAAAAAAATATTCGGGCAAAATGTTAGCCCTTTCCACTCGCGAATTCAGAGATTTATATGAATTTTTCCGCGGCGGCATCCGAGTGGAAAGGGTTAGATAATTGTTAATGGAGCTGATAATCTCATAAAAATATTTAAAATGTAATTGTGTAGGGACAAATTATTTGCAATTTAAATAAATATATAAAACCAACCATTGCTTTTGATCACAGTTTGAATTTGAAGAATGTCAATTCGATTCAAATTTTTAACAATGTCAATTTAATTACAAGTTTTATATTAATTAATTGTATGGGAATATATCACAAAATTTTCACTTTTACAAATTTACAATTTATATGCAAATTAATTTAATAAACTTTATTCTTTTCAGACTATGACGCATATGCGAATAATAGTCAACATCCTGGTGGGCATAATGTTGGGAGTACTATTTATCCAAGCTGGAAACAAAGGATCACGTGTCCTGGATAATTACAATTTATTATTTTCAATTCTGATGCATCAGATGATGAGCCCTATGATGTTGAATATATTAACATTTCCGCAAGAAATGTCGATATTGCAGAAAGAACACTTTAATCGGTGGTATTCCTTGAAGGCATACTATACGGCTATCAACATAGTCGATTTACCAGTTTCGGTAAGTTGAATTAATATATAATTAGAGTAATTGTTTTTGTAAGCAGTTCATTTGTCTTTTCACTTTGATACTGCCAAAATGATATGAATTGGAAAGATGTAACGTGTGAATCCATGACCAAAATCCTTCTTAATTAATTTTTTTTATTAGAATTTTTGCTATATTATTAGTTATTTATTTTTGGATTTGATATATAATCATGTGCAATTTAATAAAAATTGTAATAAAATACATATTTTACTTAAGAATCTCATTTAAAAAAAAAATACTCCTAAATTTGCTGCAAAAAGTTTTCGGATTACATGAGTGCACTGCAATGTGCTTTGAATAGGGGTAATATTTGAACAAATATCGTATCGTAAAAATTAAGTTCTAAATAACTACTTCCAAATTATATCTTGTAAAAGCTGAAATAAATATTTATTATTAATGAACGAGCAATTTTGAACGCGTTTTAATTACAAACATGGCAAAACGTTTTGAATCCCAAATATAGACTAATTTATATTATATTTTTAGAATACCTATATATAGTTATAACAATAATTTATTTACTATTTCAGATAATTAGTTGTATCATATTTTCTATGATCATCTATTTAATGAGCGCCCAACCATTAGAGCTAATTAGATTTGGAATGTTTCTGTCGATTTCCATGCTGGTAGTTTTTGTGGCTCAAAGTGTCGGATTGATGGTCGGTGCTATTTTTAACGTTGTGGTAAGTAATAAATCAAACTATTTGTAGAGAATTGTCAATTTAATGATGTCTTTTCGATACTATGCTCATTTTGTACGATTAATTTCAATCAACTTTTGCGCGAAGAAACTTGATGAATTGGGAATTGAGGAATAAGATATTATGAAAATATTATCAAATTTTCAAATTGATCTTAATTAATTATTCAAAATAATATTAATATATAACTAATCTTTCAACTTAATTATTCATTATAAATTTGAAATAATATAACAAATTATAAGCATTTGGTATCAATTCATTCCACATTCTATCATATTTCTATTATTTTCAGAATGGAACTTTCTTGGGCCCAACAATCTCGGTTCCAGTTATGATGTTCGCAGGATTTGGGGTCACTCTGCGCGATCTACCATCGTGGTTACATTGGGGTTCCTATTTGTCATATTTGAGATATGGTTTAGAAGGTCTAGTGGGTGCCATATATGGAATGAATAGACCCACGTTGACTTGCGAGTCAGGAAAATACTGTCACTACAAGTAAGTCGAAGTTGCTAGTGGCTTAGTTAATTAATCGAATTGAACAAGTGGGATGATGAATTACAGAATCGTTTAATTAATGAAATGTCCATAAAACATTATAAGACGTGGGATGATTGGAATGAATTTTTTCGATTGATTAGATAGCTCTGTGTTCTGTTTTCTGTGGACTAATTTATTATAAACGGTAATTTATATGCGTTTATCAATTGATTCATGTTCTAAAATTCCATTCACTTTATTTATTACTTTACTTACTTACTTTAATATATTTGTAAATATTTTTTTTGTTTTTATTCAAATAGAAGGGACGCTTTTGATTTTGCATGGTGCTAGTAACCCAGTTCTGGTTAGGTCCTTATACAGTAGTATTAAACTCGCATATTTATAAAAAATATAAATTTCAACAAATGAAATTACAATTTCGAGTATATGTTTGTGATATAGACCAAGACATTCATAGTAATTTAATTTTCAGATATCCACAGAAATTTTTAAGTGAAATTTCTATGCGTGGTGATCAATTTTGGAACGACATCATCGCCCTAACTTCAATTTTACTATTTCTGCGTATCTTGGCATACTTCTTGCTGAGATTCAAACTGAATGCCGTTCGGTAAAGGATTTTAAAAATATTAAAGTTAAGTTTTAACTCTAAGTTAAATTTAGGATATTTTAGGAAATCATAAATATTTCAAAATTTATCAATCATCATCATCATTATTCTTCAATTTTTAAAAATTCAATATTTTGAAGAAAAATGCATTTATAGTAAAAAAATATGCCATTTAGAATAAATATGTATGTATAAAAAATATACCTAAATATAGTGCCAAATTATTGTACTTATGCAGGTATCGATGGTTTCACAGGCAAAAATATAGATTTAAGAGATAGATAGCATATGTTACGAAAGTTTTGTTGTCGTTTTAGATAAAACCAATATTTTTGAGAAAGACAAGAGACAAGCTATTTTTCAAAATTAATAGTGATTATCTTTCGTACATAAAGCCTATGAGATTATATTTTTACCTGTGATGGGGATATTATGGAGCAGTTGTTTATTATTTTCTATTGTGATTTATAATCTTTAATTAAATATTAATATATAATAGTAAATCTATGTGAATTTTCATGATCAATGCATTCCAATATAATAAGAATACGTCATAACATATATGTCTGATCTCATATAATATGTGACAGATTGAAAGCGCAAATAAAAATGCAAAAAATATTAATTGATAAACTTATTTTCAATAAGGTGTTTAACCCATAGTATTAGCTAGGAAATTTGTTTTAAATTGATGATAATTGACCCAATTTTTTTAAAAATAAGCAAATTTATTAGTTTTGTTATTAAGCTGTGAAAATATTAGAATAAATATTGTATTATAAGTAATGTAAAATATTTATAACACTTTTATATTATATGTAAAGTAATATTTAAATTGATGAAGCACGTTATTATGTTAAAGCTCTTTGAAAATAATGTTAAAATAGATGAAAAAATGAAAAATTTATAGTTTTGGAAAATAGTCTACTAACTGGCGGATATAATTCGCAACACATCGCTAAAATATTGAAATTAACCTACTCTGAACTATTTCAATCTACTAATAAAATGATTATAAAATCAGTTATTCCAATTAGACTAACTAAATCCTGTCTAATATTAGGTATTGTTTATAACAACTGTAAATATTTAGTTGATCTTTATGTAGCTTTAATATATTCATTATTTGTAAAAATTATTAAAAATATATTATGTATATAAAACGTTTTTGATTTCATAAATTTATCACTAAAAATTTAAAGAAATAGCAAATAAAAATGGTGTTGAGTACTTTTCAAACTGAGTTTGGACAAAAACTTATTTAGGAAAAAAGTTATTGGAAACGTCATATCCAGAAGTTCAGGATATCAAAAAATTAAAATATGATAAATAATAAATTATGATGATAAAAAGAAATCAAGAGTAAATCGAATATCGCACAATATATTATAGTATCAAATTTAGTTAAACAAATTTATTTTGCTATTTAAATTCTTATATAATGTTTGCATGAAAAACAGATATTGGTATTATCTAAAATGCATATGCAATATCTTAATTGCATATAAACCATATTGCAACATGTACTATTCTCGAATCAAATCCGTGTGGATAATAAATCTTAGTACAGATTTCCTTTTCCTGTATCTGCTAAATTGGCTTTGCGTAAATTATTGTTTTGAGTACGTGTATACTAGTACGCAGAATGTAACTTGTAACTTGTAAATACTTTGCTAAAAGCATCCATCAATAAGCAACCTGTTATCAGAGAGATATCGAATGTTCTTATATTGCTAGCATTAGCTCGGAATTCATCTCAACTGATGTTTTATCTGATGTATAACAGTCCGATGTTATAAAAAATTAGCAAGAGGAAAAAGAGATAACACTCTTAAAATAATTATTTACATGCCGAGCTGTCTCAATTATCAGCAAAATTACAAATAGTATAAGTCGACTAACTACATTGATTTTGAGTATAGAATGACAAGCTAGCTATAATATATGAAAATGAGCCTGAGATTTAAGATGCTGATTATCAGATCGTGTTTCTCACCAATGAGAATATATAATAATTTGCAATAAAGTTTGCAATAAAAATGGCAAACATGCCATCATACATTAAAAAATAGTAGAAAACATCTATATATTCTGTTTTATTAGCCTTATTAAAATAGGAAAACTTTGACAGTAATTGTTCGACTATCACTACCCGGAGTGCGCGCCTCGCCTTCATAGTATTTGATTTTATTTCATTCGCAGCTATTATTATCAACGTATGTATTATTCTGAAACAAATGCCTTACGCTTGTCTATAAATCTTAATTTATATTATGGCATAAATCAAATCTCAAACCTTTTGTTTCGACTAACATTCGCATGCTTCTAGACCACGTACTAGAGTTGAATATCCTCCCTCGAGAACAATTTATGTTAAATTTATTGCATCGAAACGATATTGATATAAATAATAGAATCATTGAAATATCCATAAGCTATTGTATATGGTAGAATTATTACGTTTTGTCATGAGCTTTAGTGTTTCTTGCAGAGCTTTGTGTTAATGAATCATCATCGAAAGATTTGATTGTTTTCTGCGTGAACAATATAGAGGCTTAATTAATCTTTGAGTTAATGAATCATTATAGAAGGTCTGAGTGTTTTTCATAAAGAATATAGATATGTTGCTACACCAACAAGTAGAGTTAGATATACGTTTCAAAACTTGATTGTTTTCCAGAAAGTACATACTCCAATTCCAATAAAAGCTCGTGCTTTGGAGTGCATTGACTAATACACATTAAAAATGAAAAGGCAACTGATAAGATGCTCAACTTATATGCAGAAAATTATCAGTACACATATAATTAATGCAATCTATTATATAATACCGGTGTCAAATTGTTATAATTTAAAATGTCTTTTAAGATTTACAAGAACACTGCGCTCTTTTCAAGGAATCGTACGAGTTTTCCTTATCCATGATACGTTATATATAAATTTCATTTAATTACTTTCATCAAATTTTTATTTTACCATATCTTTCGTAATTGATACTAAACAAATAATTTTTATATAATATAAAATAATTCAATCTACAGCGCAATAAGATTCAATTTTAAAAATAAAAATTCTGATACTCGGATCTATAAAAATTCCGTATCAGTTAATAATATGTAAATAAATTGAGATTTTCAGGATGTTGGTAATTGACAAAAAATAGTTTCGATAAAGAAGGGTTAGTAGATAATGTTTATATATAATAACCACAAAAATGAATGCTTTTTATGGAAAAAGAAGTTTGTAGTAGATTTTCATTTTCAAACGATATCAATTTTTATAAAGTTTTCAAATATATAAAATATATTATCAATTTTTAGATTATTATACTAACAAGTAAGTTCATCAATATGTTATAAAGAATAATAACTAAAAGCTGAAAAAATAATATTTTTAACTTTCCGTAGGGTAAGTTATAGTAATCGCAAAAAATCGAAAATGAAAATTTTTATATATCTTTACGTTTCAGAGGTTTCTGAATATTTTGGCATACCTTAGAAAAAATGGATGTATGTGTAAGTGTATGTGTGTGTGTGTACGTGCGTGTGTGTATGTGTGTTCGGATACAAATTTTTGTCGACGATTTCGGGAACACGGATGAAACGATTTGAATAATTCAAAAAACATTCAATTCGTATTGATAAGGAGACATGCTGATTAGTTTTTGGCGAAGGCAAGTCTAGCCGTTCCGAAGATATGAGGCAAAAAGTGCCAACAACGATAACTCAGTTTTTAAGAGAACGGAGCATCTGATTTGAATAATTCAAAAAATATTTTACTTGTATTAACATGATGAAGAACTGATTAAATTTTCATGAAGGCAGGTCTAGCGGTTTCGGAGATCTAATGAAAAAAGTAAAAAAAATTCCATATATATGCACATTAAGTTATCAGATATTTTATAGAGATTTTAACAATAAGTATAAATTTTGTTTACATTCTTATGGGTTCCGTACCAGTGCTTATCAAAATACACTTTTCTTCAAAAAGTCTTTTTTTTTTCAAAAAAAAAAAGTAAATTTTTGTCAAAAATTTATAGTCTCTCAAAAATCTAATTTTTCAGGGTAATTTTTTTTCGAAAATGTTAATCTTTTTAAAAAAAAAATTAGTACGGAAAGTTTCAGCAATTTGCCTTAAGGCACGATGCCATGCGCCCCACTAGTTATTCATTATATTCATTTTGAAAAGACGCAAGTATTCAGAATAATTTTCTGCAGCAATATTTACAACTCGATCTGAATGCTTTGAACAACTGTTTCGAGTTCATATAAAACAACATGTACAGACAATCGCGATTGCTTCTCATTAGCATTAAATATCTGCATAATGCCTTATAATGCGTACTCCTTATTGACACTAAAGGCTTGAATCTCGGGACTAAAATCTCAGCCGTGGAAAAAATTAGCTCGGACGAGAGCTTTGCAAATGCTTTGCATACATTTGCCTCGCGCGTTACGTCCGTCGCGGCAATTGATGTCCGAATGATGTATAGCGTACGAGCTTTCTCACGGGCTAACTATGCGTAGAATCAGCTGATTAATCAGTCAGATAGAGCTTTGCGAGCGAAGCGTGGAAAGAGTTTGAGATTGGCATTGGAAAACGTAAAAGGAATAAAATCTAAGTGACATTTAGCCTCATTGCAAGTTTGCCCTGGAGATTAACAACACGAATAGGATAGGGTGGGGCACAAAGTTTCAATTTGACTTTGAGTAAATATATTGTGAAAGATACGTTGGTTCTTTTTACCCCACTCATTCGTTCGCTTTTATAAAGGTTATATAGAAAAACTAATTAGAATCTAACCTAAAATTGATAATACGTTATAAAACATTAAACTAGTGGGGCGCATGGCATCGTGCCTTAAGGCAAATTGCTGGAACTTCCCGTACCAAAAATTATTATTTTTTTAAAAACGATTAACATTTTTGAAAAAAAAATTCTTCGAAAAAATTAGATTTTTGACAAACTATAAATTTGACAAAAAATACTATTTTTTGAAAACAAAAAAT